TCAATGTGCTAAAGAGGAGAAGGAAGAAGTAGAGGAATTATTTGGTGGGAAGGAGTAAAAAAGGATTGATACTGAATGTGGCTTAGGGTGATGCATTCCCAAATAAGATTTTGCCCACAGCATCTTTCCTTCAGTCAGGTTGCCAAGAAACGGGATTCTCCCCTTAAGTTTGGAGAGTTGGAGCCTCAGTTTGTGTTTCTGAGTCAGCCTGAGGCCCTTGTTTGCAGGTCCCACCTGACTCCACTCAGACCTGGAACAGGTTCCCCAATTTGCTTGAAATTTTCCCAAGGGCAACTAGTAACCCCAGATTCCAGGTGAATCAGAATCTCCAGGGTTGGGGTAGCGGAGGACAGGAGTCCATGGTTTTTGTTTTCTTGAAACAGAGTCTTAATCTGTTGCCGAGGGCAGTGGTGCAACGATAGCTCACTGCAGCTTTGACCTTCTGGGCTCAAGAAATCCTCTCACCTCAGCCTCCCCAGTAACTGGGACCACAGGCATGTGGCACCATACCTGGCTAATTTTTATTTTTTTTCTTTTCTTTTTTTTGAGACAGGGGTCTTACACTGTTGGCCAGGCTGGAGTGCAATGGCGCCATCTGGGTTCACTGCAACCTACACTTCCCGGACTCTGTTGATCCTCCCGCATTAGCCTCTCAAGTAGCTGGGACTACAGGCATGTGCCACCATGCCCAGCTAACTTTTATATTTTTTAGTAGAGACAGGGTTTTGCTATGTTGCCTAGGCAGGTCTCAAATTCCTGAACTCAAGCGATCCGCCCACTTGACCTCCCAAAGTACTGGGATTACAAGCATGAGCCACTGTGCTCAGTGGTTTTTCATGTTTTGTTTGTTTTTTGAGACAGAGTTTTGCTCTTGTCACTCAGGCTGGAGTGCAATGGCATGATCTTGGCTCACTGCAACCTCTGCCTCCCAGGTTCAAGCAGTTCTGCCTCAGCCTCCCGAGGAGCTGGGATTAAAGGTACCCATCACCAGGCCTGGCTAATTTTTGTATTTTTAGTAGAGACAGGGTTTTGCCATGTTGGCCAGGCTGCTCTTGAACTCCTGACCTCAAGTGATCCACCCGCCTCGGCCGCCCAAAGTGCTGGGCTTACAGGCATGAGCCACCATGTCCAGCCATTCATGTTTTTAATAACCAACTCCAGTTCATATTATTATTATTATTATTATTATTATTATTTTTTGAGACGGAGTCTCGCTCTGTCGCCCAGGCTGGAGTGCAGTGGCGCGATCTCAGCTCACTGCAACCTCTGTCTCCCGGGTTCACGCCATTCTCCTGCCTCGGCCTCCTGAGTAGCTGAGACTACAGGCGCCCGCCACCGCGACCGGCTAATTTTTTTTTGTATTTTTAGTAGAGACGGGGTTTCACTGTGTTCGCCAGGATGGTCTCGATCTCCTGACCTCGTGATCCACCCACCTCGGCCTCCCAAAGTGCTGGGATTACAGGTGTGAGCCACTGTGCCCGGCCTCATATTATTATTATTATTTATTTATTTATTTATTTTGAGATGAAGTCTCACTCTGTCACCCAGGCTGGAGTGCAGCGGCACAATCTGGGCTCACTGCAAGCTCCGCCTCCCAGGTTCACCCCATTCTCCTGCGTCAGCTTCCCGAGTAGCTGGGACTACAGGCATCCGCCACCACGCCCAGATAATTTTTTGTATTTTTAGTAGAGACGGGGTTTCACCATGTTAGCCAGGATGGTCTCGATCTCCTGACCTCGTGATCTGCCCATCTCGGCCTCCCAAAGTGCTGGGATTACAGGTGTGAGCCACCACACCTGGCCTTCATATTGTTTTGAAGCAAATCTCAGATGTCATTTTTTTTTTCATTCATGCCTATTTCAGTATGGATTTCTAAAAGATACTAATTCTTTTTTTAAAAAAATGTGATCCCTGAGGTCAAGTGATCAAGACCATCCTGGCCAACATGGTGAAATCCCATCTCTAAAAGTACAAAAATTTGCTGGGCGTGGTGGCACGCACTTGTAGTCCCAGCTACTTGGTAGGCTGAGGCAGGAGAATCACTTGAACCTGGGAGGCGGAGGTTGCAGTGAGCCGAGATCACACCACTGCACTCCAGTCTGGCAAAAGAGCAAGACTCCGTCTCAAAAAAAAAAAAAAAAAAATTACCCGAGTGTGGTAGTGCGCACCTGTATAACTGAAAAAAATTTAACAGAATGATATATTTATAATTCATCAGGAATTATAGAATTTCAATGCTGGTAGACTCTGTGAAATTGTAACTGTGTTAGGATTAACCTAGAATTATGGAATTATATGAGCTTTTAATTAGGCAAGGTCTTTGGGAGCTTGGAAAACTGAAGTTCTCAAGGAAAAGTGAATAAATACAGCTGCCTTATATTTAAATCCTGGGTATTTATTCCATATTTATTATACCCACTTATGTGCTATTTGCTGGGGATGTGAAGACAAATAAGATGAGATTCCTGTTTTTGAGGGTAGTACTATAATATCTTTTTTTTTTTTTAGATGGAGTTTTGCTCTTGTTGCGCAGGCTGGAGTGCAATGGTGCGATCTTGGCTCACTGCAACCTCCACCTCCCAGGTTCAAGCGATTCTCCTGCCTCAGCCTCCCGAGTAGCTGGGATTACAGGCATGCACCACCGTGCCCAACTAACTTTGTATTTTTAGTAGAGACGGGGTTTCTCCATGTTGGTCAGGCTGGTCTCGAACTCCCGACCTCAGGTGATCCGCCCACCTCAGCCTCCCAGAATGCTGGGATTACAGGCATGAGCCACTGTGCCCAGCTGTTAGAGTTTACCTTAATGAAATATGGGCCCTATATGTATAGCTATTGTCTTGCTTGCTAAAATAATCATGGATGTCTTGATTTTCACGGATTCCTGTTTACATTGCCAGATTCACCATTGCTGATGGTCATTCCTTTTTAATAGATGACAAGTCATAGAGTTCTGGGAGTTTGGGAGCTGGTTAAGTTAAATGATTTTCAAACTTTTTTCTTGCAGTTGAGTAAGAGTTGAGCTACTCAGCTGAAGGGTGTGTGTGGGGAGAGGGGGGAGTGTCAAGAGTGCCTCCACCACCAGCTATTTTAAGCCTCTAAGACAGCTCCTGGATACTTTAAAGAATATTGGGTCCCAAGTTTTAAAAACTCACTGATATGGTCTATTAAGTTCATTAACAAATGGGAAATGGGACCCAGAGGTTGGAGCTTCTTCGTCATCACATGATTAGTCAATGTCAGTATCCAAAACAAGCCCTGTGACTTCCAAATTCAGTGTCCTTGCCCTGTGTCCCCAGCCTCTGTAAAGCCTTGCCAGAAATTCTCCCCAGCCCCCTTCATGGTTGGTCACTCTTTCCCCCATGTTATAGCACATTTTTTTTGCCAACTGGATTGCTTAATATGTTAGGCTTCTTTCTTTCTTTTTTTTTTTTTTTTAATACTTTAAGTTCTGGCCTCTCCTAGCCCCCGCCCTGCCACCCCAACAGGCCCTATGTGTGTTATTCCTCTCCTTGTGCCCTTATGTTCTCATTGTTCAACTCCCACTTATAAGTGAGAACATGCAGTATTTGATTTTCTGTTCCTGTGTTAGTTTGCTGAGAATGATGGTTTCCAGCTTCATTCATGTCCCTGCAAAAGATACGAACTCATTCTTTTTTATGTCTGCTGTTAGGCTTATTTCTGCCCCACCTCATTCCTACCTCAAGTAGGAATTAAAGCAATTTAAAGACCTTCAAATTCTTTGTTTCATGAAATGAACCAGATTTATCACTTATGTTAAATATCACCTTTTCCAACTTTGGGAATTTTTTTTTTTTTTTTTTTTTTTTGAGACAGAATCTCACTCTTTCGCCAAGACTGGAGCTCAGTGGTGAGATCTCCACTCACTGCAAGCTCCACCTCTTGGGTTCATGCCGTTCTCCTGCCTCAGCCTCCCAAGTAGCTGGGACTACAGGCGCCGGCCACCGCACCCGGCTAATTTTTGGCATTTTTAGTAGAAACGGGGTTTCACCGTGTTAGCCAGGATGGTCTCGATCTCCTGACCTTGTGATCCACGCACCTCGGCCTCCCAAAGTGCTCGGATTGTAGGCGTGAGCCACTGCGCCCATCCGGGAATTTTTTATTATTTATTTATTTATTATTATTTTTTTTTGAGACAGAGTTTTGCTCTTGTCACCCAGGCTGGAGTGCAGTGGCACAATCTTGGCTCACTGCAGCCTCTGCTTCCAAGGTTCAAGCAATTCGGATTCAAGCCTCCTCGTCTCCTGGATTCAAGCAATTCTCCTGCCTCAGCCTCCAGAGGAGCTGGGACCACAGGCCCAAGCCACCACACCCAGCTTTTTGTAGTTTTTGTAGAGATAGGATTTTTGCCATGTTGCCCAGGCTGGTCTCGAACTCCTGAGCTCAACTGATCCGCCTGTCTCAGCCTCCCAAAGTACTGGAGTTATAGACATAAGCCACCATGCCCAGCTGGGAATTTTTATTATTTTTATTTATTTTTTGAGACAGAATCTTGCTCTGTTGCCTAGGCTGGAGTGCAGTGGCATGATCTTACCTCACTGCAACCTCTGCCTCCCAGGTTCAAGCAGTTCTCCTGCCTCACCCTCCCAAGTAGCTGAGATTACAGGCACATGCCACCACACCTGGCTGAGTTCTGTATTTTTAGTACAGATGGGGTTTTACCATGTTGGCCAGACTTGTCTCGAACTCCTGACCTTAGGTGATCCACCCACCTCAGCATCCCAAAGTGGTAGGATTACAGGCGTGCGCTACCGCACCCGGCAGAATTTTTAAATTTCTAAGTGTTTCTTGTAACAATTTGCCTTACTCTTTTCCACCCACTCCTCCTTGCTTTTAGAAGGCCCTAGCTAGTGACAAAATAAATGAAGAAATCCTTGGTTGAATAATAACTAAAAAACTTAAAGCCAATCATGCTGAGTTTGACAGCTTCTTTTCTCCCCAAATGGATATAATTGTGAAAATATTGTCATGTTTTCTTCTAGCAAAACGTCATATTATTTCACAAAAAGCCCAGCGATTTCACCTGAAGAAGCTTGGGAACTCCTGCCAAAAATTGTAACACTTCTCACATTGCAATGGTAATGAATTGTTGCATGTCTGTCTTCCAAAAGAAAGTGAGTTCCTTCAAAACGGGAACCATGCCAGAAGGTGAAGTCTTGCAATTACAAAATTTAACAGCACAGTACAATTACAATATAGTAAAAAGAATAAGATGAGAATACTTTATATCCTTATCAACATGAATAGTTATTTGCCCTGCATAACTGGCTATTCATGGCATAACTTTTTGATGGTGACACCCATTGGAAAACTGTTTGCTCAAACACAGTAGTTCACTTTTCAGCCTTGCTTCTTCTGTTCTACGAAATGTGAAGGATTTTTACATTTATTACATTTATGTCATACTATTTTGTATTCCCACTCCCTAGCATAGTACCTGGCGCTAATGTTTATTAAATGAATATTCTTTATACCCATTGAATAGTTTTATTAAAGATAGGAATTAAAGAAGGAGCCTTTCTCATTCCCTAAGCTGTTCTTCAAGGGTAGAAAACTAAAGGAGGCACAGGAGAAAACTGTGTAAACAATGTAATTATCTGTCCTCCTTCCTTCGTTTCTCCTATCCTCCCTCTTTCTGAATACTCTGATCCTATAATCTCTGCTGATGAACTCATATAACCCCTTCAAGAGATTTGGTTCAAGACCTTACAAATGACTGTGGAGCCAAAATTGAGTAACCGAGACTGGATTTAACTTCCTGTGTAAAAATGGTAAAAGTCAGACACAATATAATGAAATAATGGTTTTTTAGATATTAGATATCAGGCAGCACAGGACAGTGACTCCTGAGAGGACAAAACAAATGAGATGAGCCCTGTAACTGACCCAGCTTACTGTCAAGAGTGTTTCATTACCATAGCTCAGGGGAGGAGGAACCCACAGGAAGGCTGATAATCTTCCTGAGTTGAGTTGATGTCTCTGAGAGGTTAAAATGGCCTAAATTCGGCCAGACACGGTGGTTTATGCCTGTAATCCCAGCACTTTGGGAGGCCAAGGCCAGTGGATCACGGGGTCAAGAGATCGAGACCATCCTGGCCAACGTGGTGAAACCCCGTCCCTACTAAAAATAGAAAAATTAGCTGGGCGTGGCGGCATGTGCCTGTAATCCCAGCTACTCCCGAGGCTGAGGCAGGAGAATCACTTGAACCCGGGAGGCGGAGGTTCCAGCGAGCCGAGATTACGCCACTGCACTCCAGCCTCCCAACAGAGCGAGACTGCATCTCAAAAAAAAAAAAGCCTACCTTCACAGGGCAGGGTACCAGAGAGAGGCAGCACTACACTTCACTATCTGGAGATCTGCAGAGTCTTTCTCAAGTTTTCAGCTGATAACTGATGTATTTGAGGAAACTACCTAAGTTCTGGGAAGGAACCCTATTTGGAGCTCACATAGGGCAGAGAATAGTTTGTGTTCCCATCTGCAAGAGTGCAAAAGTCCTTGTAATTCATAGAATATCAAATGAGGTATTTATTGCCTCAATATAGGGCAAAATGACTTCTAGACTAAAGATTGACAAAGCTTAAAAGCAAACCTTAAAAGGATCAGACATTTTGTAAAGAAACTGTTGGCCAGATGAGGTGGCTTATACCTGTAATCCTAACACTTTGTGTGGTGGAGACAGGTGGATTGCTTGAGGCCAGGAGTATGAGACCAGCCTGGGCAACATGGCGAAACCCGGTATCTACAAAAAATACAAAAAATAAAAAAATTAGCCTGCTGTGGAGCTCATGCTTGTAATCCCATCACTGGGAGGCTGAGGCAGGAAGATCACTTGAGACTAAGGGTTCAAGACCACCCTGGGCAACACAGTGAGCCCCTGCCTCTTCAAAAAAAATTTTTTTAAGTTGTTACTATCTTACATAAGTTCAAGAAAATAGTGAAAAGATTAAACAAATAATGGCATGGAATCTCATCTTGGGCCAAGACAACAAAGCAAAAAAAATTTTTTTAATAATAATGACATGGAGTATATTAAAAAGACCCACATTGAACTTCTGGAGATGAAAACTACAATGTTTTAAAATAAAAGTTTACTGGATGGGATTAACAGAAGATTAGAGACTGCAGAAGAAAATATTTATGAGTTTGAAGTCATATGAATAGAAGCTATCCTAAATGAAAGCCAGAGAGATTAAAATACTAAAAAAGTTCAGGCATGGTGGCTCACACCTATAATCCCAACACTTTAGGAGGCCAAGGCAGGAGGATCACATGAGCCCAGGAGTTCAGGACTAGCCTCCTAGACAACATGGTAAAACCCTGTCTCCACAAAAAATACAGAAATTAGCTGGGCATGATGGCAGGTGCCTGTGGTCCCAGCTTGGGCAGCAGAGCAAAAACCTGTCTCAAATTAATAAATTTAAAAAATAAAAGACTGCAAGAAAATACAGCATCATTGAGCTGTGGGACACTTCAAATAGTCTAATAATATAACTGTAATTGTAGTCCCCAAAGGAGAGGGAGGGGCATAAAATATTTGAAAAAATGAACGCCTGAAATTTTTCTAAATTTCTAAAATTTTCTAAATTGGAGGGAAACTATAAACCTGCAGATTCTAGAAGCTTAGTGAACCCTAACCACAGGAGGCATGAAGAGAACTACACCAAGGCTTTTCATAATCAGATTGCTTAAAACTAGTGGTAAAGAGAAAAATATTTAAAGTGTCCAGAGGAAAAAATGACACATTATGAAAAAAAGAAAGGTAAAAATGATGGCAGACTTTTCTTTGGAAATAATGCAAATGAGAAACAGTACATCAGTATCTTTTTTTTTTTTTTTTTTTTTTTGTATTTTTAGTAGAGATGGGGTTTCACCGTGCTAGCCAGGATGGTCTCAATCTCCTGACCTTGTGATCCCCTCCTCTTGGCCTCCCAAAGTGCTGGGATTACAGGTGTGAGCCACCGCGCCTGGCCAGTATATCAATATCTTTAAAGAACTGAAAGGAAAAGAAAACCCTGTCAATCTTAAACAATATGCCCAGTGAAAATATATTTCAAAAATGAAGGAAAGATAAACACTTTTTTGGGGTGTGGGGGATAGAATCTCTGCTGTCTCCCAGGCTGGAATGCAGTCACACAAACATGGCTTACTGCAGCCTCAACCTGCCGAGGCTCAGGTGGTCCTCCCACCTCAGCCTCCTGAGTAGCTGGGATTACAGGTGTACATCACCATGCCCAGCTAATTTTTTTACTTTTTGTAGAGACGGAGTTTTTCCGTATTGCCCAGGAGGGTCTCAAACTCCTGGACTCAAGCAATCCGCCCACTTCGGCCTCCCAAAGTGCTGGGATAACAGGCATGAGCCACCGTGCCCATCTCACACTCTTTAAAGATATATCAAAACTGAAAGAATTCATCAGCAAAGACCTGCACTACAAAAAATACTAAAGGATTCCTTTCAGGAGAAGGAAAATGATACCAGATGGAAATCTGGATTTACTTAAGAGAAGGAAGAACACTGGAAGTAGTAAATATGTCAGTAAAAATAAAGTGACTGCAGTTCATTTTACCTTCAATAGGTCAGGAGGTAAAAATGTGATTTTGAAGACTGAAACTATTCCTTAGTTCATGTCTGCTTAAAGTCTGTCAATAATTTGCTAACCTCAACACCTTTTAGAGGTAAATTTGTTTGTAAATTATTGGTAAGTTATGACTCATGTTATAGCAACTTACTACAAGTAAAGCAAATGTCAGCAGTTTTTGGTAAGGTATCTTGTATTGGCTCTTGGTGGTTTTTTGGTTTTTGGGTTTTTTTTTGAGACAGGGTCTCACTTTGTCACCCAGGCTGGAGTGCAGTGGTGCAATCTAGGCTCACTGTAGTCTCAACCTCCTGAGTTCAAGCCATCTTCACTAGGCTATATACATATATATACACATACACATATGTATACGTGTATATATAAATTATATATACACACATATATATAAATTATATACACACACACACACACACACACACATATATATATATATATTTTTTTTTGAGACGGAGTCTCACTCTGTCACCCAGGCTGGAGTGCAGTGGCCAGATCTCAGCTCACTGCAAGCTCCGCCTTCCAGGTTCACGCCATTCTCCTGCCTCAGCCTCCCGAGTAGCTGGGACTACAGGCGCCCGCCACCTCGCCCGGCTAGTTTTTTGTAATTTTTAATAGAGATGGGTTTCACCGTGTTAGCCAGGATGGTCTCGATCTCCTGACCTCGTGATCCGCCCATCTAGGCCTCCCAAAGTGCTGGGATTACAGGCTTCAGCCACTGCCCCCGGCCTATTTTTTTTTTTTTTTTAAGATGAAGTCTCAGTCTGTTACCCAGGTTGGAGTGCAGTGGTGCAATCTTGGCTCACTGCAGCCTCTGCCTCCCAGGTTCAAGCAATTCTCCTTCCTGTCTCAGCCTCCCGAGTAACTGGGATTACAGGCGACTGCCACCATGCCCAGCTAATTTTTGTATTTTTGGTAGAGCGGGGTTTCACCCTGTTGGCCAGGCTGGTCTTGAACTCCTGATCTTACGTGATCCACCTGCCTCAGCCACTAGGCTATATTTTTGAATGAAGAAAAAGAACGGAGAAGCAGATAAGGGAGGAAACAAAAATATTTGTAATAGTGGCCACATACCAAATTTCAGTTTGTGCAGTCTTTGAAATCCTGTTTTCTTTTTTTTTTTTAGAGACAGGGTCTCACTCTATCACCCAGGCTGGAGTGCAGTGGTGCGATTTTGGCTCACTGCAACCTCTGCCTCCTGGGTTCAAGAGATTCTCATGCCTCAGCCCCTATAGTAGCTGGGATTACAGGCACATGCCACCACGCCCAGCTCATTTTTTTGTATTTTCAGGGTTTCACCATGTTGGCCAGGCTGTTTCATGGCTCTTAAGGGTCAGTTTTGGCTTTCTTCCATTGCTGGCCAGAATATCTTTTTTTTTTTAGATGGAGTCTCGCTCTGTCACCCAGGCTAGAGTGCAGTGGGGTGATCTTGGCCCACTGCAACCCCCATCTCCCGGGTTCTAGCAGTTCTCCTGCCTCAGCCTCCCGA